TATACTTTGCACACATACCAATTGGGGAATACACCTATTCAAGTCCCATTCTTCATTTATTTCCAACAGCCTCCCCTTTTCTTGGGTGTGACCAGGCTTACGAAATGAGGGAACAGAATGAGGCTGAACATCAGTAGTTAAACACTCGCTTGTTCCCACAGTTTGAAATTAAACATTCTGACCTATCAGATAAAATGCTGACATCATACTGACAGGGCCATGAACCCGAATCTTGTTAATGTTAACCTGTATCCTCATCACTGTGAAAAGGTCTTTCCTCCCAACTTTTCAGAAGCAGAAGTTACAAGAGACTAATAAGCACATGACAAAAAACGAAAAAAAAAACCATGCCCAAGTTAAGAGAGGTACAATGCAGTCCTACAGAAGCAAGGAGAATGCATTAGACTGACCAGAGAAGCAAGAGAAGAGAGGGCTTACCAGCATAAATGCCCCAGCTAAGACACTGGGGAATCTACAAAGTGCTCAAAAGACTACTACACAGCAATCAACGCTGACATGCCAAAGAATGCACACACTACAAAGTTCTGCAAGAGGAGAAGGCAGTGACCCTTTCTGGAACAGCTGAAATAGAGCTGCATGTGAGAAATGACTAGTGGGAAGAGGGCACAAAGTGAGAAGAAACCCCTACTGATTAATATCAGGTATTGGGAACTTAGAATTATCCTTCTTCCTCACCTTCACCCCAAAGTCACAGAGAGTTACCCTAAATGCTGCCCCCACACAGCTTTCCACAGATGCAAACAGGTCGTATAGCTGCATTTTACTCCTGACAGCAGAAATACCTGCCCAGAGATTACAGAAAAGGAACAAAAAAAGAAACAGGACATATATGAAACCTTTTTCTATTTAAAAAATCTCCACTTTTCAGATACCCAATAGTGAGGAAAATCCCTGGTGGATAAACATAGATTTAGTAGTCAGCTAAAAATTAGAGCTATGATTACATCTCTTGACAGCTCCAAGAACAGCTCTCAGTTGCTTAGACTCAGAGAAAGTTTATAATCAACTTGCTGCAAAAGCTTTAATTTAGAACATGTGTCACTAAGGAAAAACACTGAAGCAAGACCTGACTTTATTTTTCAAATGTCTTAACAACTAATCCCCTTGAGATTATGTCAGGTATGTCACATTAGGATGGCTTGGGCTCACCTTCACCAGTGAGTATGTTAAAATGCAATTGAACCTGTCTATGTATGCACTCTAACACATACTTCTAAAATTTCAAATGGTTACAGAGGAAAAGCATCTGTGGATCTAACACTGATCAAGAACACATTATCACGTGTTTTATTCAACATGAAGTGTCATAGACAGAAGCAGTCTTACAGAATAATGTAAAACTTATTTTCTACACACCTGAATATAAAAGAGAAGGGGAAACTTTCCTGCACAAAAATCAATTTGGTGGGGTAGGCTGCTATTGTATAAGATATATTTACACAGTACAAGTTTTTGGTACAAAGGATTACATATGCAAATGGCTGAGTTAATAAACTGGAGCTAAGAATGAGCTTTTCCTGTTCCTGTTAATTTATGGCCCAGTGCTACACTGCTTTCACGCAATGCCATAATCTTCAGAGAATGATATCACATTATCCTCCTCAGAGTAGTCTAGGAATGCAGATAGAAAGAACATCAACCATCACCTTCATAACTCTCTCCCTCTTCACCCTCAATGGTTTGGGTGCCTGATAAAGTTTTAGATATTATTAAAACTTTAAACATCCGTTCTTGGCTGCTACTACCCTTTGAGCACACAGCTTCCTGCCAGTGGGTACTTGTACCAACACTGAAGCCTTCATAACACGGACTGAACTAATACTGCACGTCCAAACCACCACATGGTTCTCAAATCCCCCGGTCACCCCGTTGCTCCTCAACTGCTGAAGTGCAAGAATGTGAAACTTCCAGATCTGTCCTTTATCCCAACAATAAAATAAGAAGTTTGGGAATACACCAGCTGCACCAGAATCCTTTTCGTACAATGCAAACACCAGGACAAGAAGAGTTCAGGTTTAAATCCCCCTCTAGGCCTGTCTTAGGCACAACTCAAAACTTGGTTTTCACTCTCCCACTTTAATGCCTGTGCCCATGTGCTGATGCCATCCATGCTTTGACCACTGCTTTCAACAGGAGAAGCTCAGTCCAGGAGCTTCTGCCACCCAGGAGAGCCACCACATTCAAATCACTCCCCCAAACCAGTAAGATGACCCTTCAGCAAAGGGGACCCTGCTCAGGCATCTCATTCCAGGACAGCGTTTGCAACTGTAAATAACAAATGGATTGACACCTTCACCTAGCTAGACCCTTGAGACTTAAGCCTCTATAAAAGCTAAGCTAAAGAGCAGATCTCTCTCTACATGTCCCTGAGGCTCTGATTGTTGTCCTCTGAGGTGACAGAGGACACCTGGCATGGCCTTTTCCTGCAAGTCCCACAGACAAAGTGGGTGCCAACTCTGGGCTATGGGCATCAGGGCAGCTGCAGGTCAGGCATCTGCACACTCCAGCCCTTAAGCTACCCTGGATACTTTTCCTCCTCCTTTTGTCAACTGTACAGAAAGTACAGACATACTCTTGGCACATTTATCTTCACTCAGCTTTCTAAAGAATCAGTGAAATGAATCACATGTGGTACTTGTATCTCTTCTACTAAAATAAACACAATTCAACCGCAGGATCACTTTTTAGTATTCAAAGCACTTGTGCACTGGTGGACAGAGCCCTGACAAAAATACTTGCACAGATGACAACCCCTCCCTCCGTGGGCTTTAACAGCTCCTAACAACACAATCCCAGGGCAGTTACGTGGCTGCAAATGCACCTTGAACATCACATCTGTCTTCACAGTTCGGGGAAGGGGATTCTAGTACAAAAGCAGCATTGACAAAATAGCTTAGAAAACTACAACAGCAATGCCAGGTCTCTAACTTTGAAAGTAGATTTATGACTAAAAGCTATTAATTAGTTTTCAATGGTAACAGCAAAGAGCTAATGATGTATTAGGAATCACTGACACTGCATTTAACATTTAGCATTTCCCTCATTTCTCACGAGGCAACAGACAGACTTACAAATTCATTATATGACAGAAGAGGTCTCAACACACAAAAATTATTACCAACTATTAGCCTCATTGGGAAATCTATACAGAAAGTGAACCCAGTAAAAATTAATATTTATCCAGATCTTTTGACAGTGAGCTCATAAGTAATGCTTCCATTCCCAGTATCTGTATGAGTTTGAGTTACAACAAAGCTATGGACAACAGCCATAAAATGGTAGCATGCATATTAATACAGGTATATTAGGTTTGACTTTAAGAACCAAGTTTTTGAGGGGGAGAGGGGAGTTATCTTCTGCAATCAAACTTTTTAAACTCAGCCTTCTCCATTCAAACAGCTGGCATATAGAAGAGCTTAAAACACAAAAAGCAAAGTGACCTATTGTGTTTTGACTCAAAGTAGATACAGAAGTAACCTTCAAGGTTACCTTGCCCTATGTGCGGCCTCAGGAAGGAAAAAACCACAGTTTCAGCAAAGGAATTTCTTGCCTGGCTGGAGGCCACACCCGCCACAACAACTGATGGCAGGAAAGCATTTGGACTCACAACTCTACCCGTAGCACCCAGCCGGAGGCAAAGCAAAACTTTCTCATTTTCAGAGAAGAAAAGAAACTCTTGCTCAATAAGTAGCAATTATGCTGCAGAATTTATATGCTGAGCACGGCTGAATGTACGAGCACCAGATCAGTCAACCATAGCTTTAGTGCTTTGAGTATGATTAACAGAATGAACTTTCAAAGGTCAATTAAATGTCAACACATTTTAAAGAGATATTCTTGTTAAGCTGGGGCAATGTGTAACAGTACTTTCCAGAGCTGTTGTGCACTTTCACCTTAAAATTTTACCCATCTTATACTCACATGCGCAGATATAAAGATGATAACTAATTAACCTTTGATAGAAAATAATGGCTATTTACGCTCCTGGCTTTTCTTTCACTAAGCTGTCTTTATTACGTGTATCTAAGCAAGTACACAGAGACACTTGTCCCAAAATTTCATTTAAATTGTTGAGGGTGTGAGCAAAGTCAGAAAAAAAGGAGCAAGAACAGTTTGAAAGTCTAATAACTTACTAAATGAAAATGAGAAGAGGCTTTTGATATGCAACTGAGCTGCCTCGATGTGAATCTGGGGGAGGATGGAGGGGACGGGACCGTAACTGAATTAATTATGAACACATTAATCATGACTTTAGGCAGCCCAGTGATGTATCTCTTCATCTCTATACATTTCTGAAAATTCAAACTTCGCTAACTAGCTCAAGACATCTTAAAACAAACGCCAAGAAGCTGAACGCTTAGTACGATTTATTTAAGTTACCCCTCAAACCGGATGCTCAAATCATTAGTTAGTTTAAAAGTTTTTAAAAAAAGAAAAACAACAAAGTCTCCATGTCAGTACAAACTAAAAGAATCAAAATCCCGACCAAGGCCTCTCAACAGTACCATAATCATTCTGACATGAGCAATATTTGTTCAAGACCAGAACTAAAGAATAATTTGAGAGTTGAGAAAAACCAGCCGCACTCCGTGCAGACGCCAGAAGAAAATAGGTTGGAGAGCTTTCTTTTCACAAGGGCAGCGGCCTCGGCACCTCTCCACAGGTAGGACTGTAACTCCGCAAGAGTTTCCTCGGAGGTTCCCGCTCCGGCCCTGACAGTCCCGCCAGGCTTGGGGCCAGGTGCCGCGGGGTAGCGCACGGCGACGGCTCTCCCCAGACAGGGAGACAACCAGGGCGGACAGCCTTACAAGTTCCTAAAAAGTTCCAGACGCGGTGGCTGCCTGACCCCCACCGGCTCCGCGGGGCCCGCCGGGCACGGCCGCCCGTCCTGCCGCACCTGCGGCCCCGGCCGGAGCCCCGGGCGGAGCGGGAGCGCGGCCCGGCCCGCAGGTGTCCCAGGACCCCCGCCCGCTCCTTACCTGGACGGATCCCGCACAACTTTCCCACTCTGGGCGAAACAGCGGCCCCACTCCCGACGGCCACCTCCAGTCCAATCCAGTCCCGTTCAGCCCGTCCCGTCCCGTTCCGCCCCAGCCCCCCGCCAGCCCGGCCACAAGGGCGGGGAAAGGGGGCGGAGAGAAGCGAACCCGCCCCGCGGCGGGCATTGTACGCCCCCCGAGCGCGTTTCCCAGCGGCTGGGGCGGCGTAAGCTCCTCCTCCTCCCCTCGCCATGTTCTTTGTTTCTCCGGCTTTTCCCGGCCGCTCCCGGTGACGCCGCGGCCGCCCCGGCGGGGCCGGCGGAGCGGAGCGGGGCCGCCCCGGCCGCAGGTGACCGAGCGGCCGCCCCCGCCCGAGCGCCGCCCCCCCGCCGGAGGGGATCCCGCCCCGCTCAGCCAATCGGCTCGGGGCAGGGGGCGCCTCGACCAATGGGACGCCGGGGAGCGCGGAGAGTCCCGCGCGGAGCCAATGGGGCGGAGCGG